TCTTTTTCTTTTTAAGTTTATTATACTAGTTTATACTTCTTGAATAGTATCTACGAACCCTAATCTCCGATTACTGCTAATACTTCTGCTACCTCTACTACTACGGTATTTGAAATGACAGTTGCGTTTCTGTGCTAATATTATATGGCGACCTGAACTGATGTACCTACATACGAAGTTCTATGTTGTAACCGACTGACTGATTGACTGATAAATTAGAATAAACTGAGCATTGGGTGAATTGTTAATTATAAAAATAATATATTTATAATATCCCACTGAGAAGGAAAGTTAAAATTTTCTGACGTTTCGTGACTCAGTGTACATCACTTCTTCAGAGAATAAGTTAAGATGCTGAAAAAGGCGCTAACCAGAACAAATAATTCAAACCATCTAAACTCTGCCCTGAGAGTTGAAAGATCTTCATTAGGAAGACTTATGACTTCTTATGGTGAAAGTCAAGTTTTGTCGTAAGCCACGATGTCAGTGGTTATTCTCACAACCAGAGTAACCGCTAGTTTAAGTCTATAAAATGTTTGCACAATATGCGACACCGGTAGAATCATTCAAGCAACCTGGTGGTGCTTGGAATAGGCGAAACCCATTGGTCAAAGACTGCACAAAAAGGATTAGTTTAAGGAGAGATGATGCGATACTCCGGCCATGAAGAAGAAAATGCTTCACATACACAAGGATTTGTTCTGATGCTGTCCAAACAAGCACAAAATGCACTAATAGGATGGGAATCTCATTAACCCAGGATCATCGAGTCATTCTTGAAAACAAAGAAAGAGGGGATTACAATGGACATCATCCTGTACTATGCACCCACCAACAATTATAATCGAGATGATAAATATCAATTTTACGAGAGGCTGAAGTCAATCATAGAGAAACGCTGACAAAAGAATTCGACCATTCTGATGGAAGATTTCAATGCCAATGTTAGAATAGACAACACCGGATATGAAGGTACCATGGGACGACATGGAATGGAAGAAGCGATCAAAAATGCTGAGACATTCTCAAACCTATGTGCTTTCAACAAACTGGTCATAGACGGCATTATATTCCCACACAAACTCATAAACAAAACTAAATGGGTTTCAGTGGATCGTGAATGAATCGTGCATGAATAAAAATTTCGGGGCTTGTATAGACGACTTGAAAACAAAGAGAGGAGCTGACATAGCTTCAGATCACCACCATCAGGGGTGGTGATCAAAAAACCAAATAAAGGCGATCTCAACAAGTATGAGAACTACACAGGCATCACTTCTCTCGATTCTACCAAAGGTTTTCAATCAAGTGTTGTCAAACCGAATGAAAGATTCCGTAGATGCCAAACTTCGAGATCAGCAGACTAGATTCCGTAATGATCGATCATGTACCGACCAAATTGCAACATTACGGATCATTGTGGAACAATCGATCAATCAATCACTCTACATCAACCTCATCGACTATGAGAAAGCATTCGACAACGTGGACAGGATGATACTATGCAGGCTACTTCGACAATACGGCACACTTGAGAAAATATTCAACATCATACAGAATCCTTATGATGAACTAAACTACAAAATCGTTCATGGACGACATCTGACAGATTTGTTTCAAGGTGAAGACCGATGTCAGGCAAGGCTGCTTACTCTCACCCATTCTCACTCTCCTGGTGATCGACTGTATTATGAAGACGTCAATATCTGGAGGGAAGCACGGTATCCAGTCGACAGCCAGGATGTAGTTGAACTTCGTAGATGATCTGCCTCTTTTATCGCACAATGAACATCAAGTGCAAGAGAATATGAAAAGTGTAGCAGCGGACTCGGCGTCAGTCAGTGAGATGCAACGTAGAAATTCGTACGTAAGTACATCAGTTCATGTTGCCATACCACATCAGCACAGAGATATAATTGCCAATTCAAATCCAATAGTAGAAGAGGTAGTAAAGGTATTAGAAGTAATCGGAGAGGTTAGGATTAGAAGATAATTATTCAAGAAGTATGATTCAGTGAGAATAGTTTAGAAAGAAAAAAGTAGAGGGGTTGAAGAATCCAGAAGATTAGGATTTGAGAGAACACAAAGAATAAATGCACCGGCGCCATTGCAAACGATTTTGAGCCATGTCATTCAACGTCTCTAACCATCGATTATTATCATCTCGCGGACCCCAAACCAGGTAGTCGACAATTACCGACATGACTAAGTCCACTCGTCAATGACTTCATGGATTTCTGCCATGTTTTGGCCGCCCTTAACTTTCTTCCAACCTACTCCTACACTACAAAACAAAGCTCGTCGAGGCGGTCGGCGGTTATGCTTTCGTAACACATGTCCCAACCACCTCAACTGATGAAGTTTCATTACTTCATCTATTGATCTCACATTCTTACCAAGTCCTCGTTTCCTAATAAAAGCGTTGCTCACTCGGGTGTCCCACGGTATACGAGCAGTGCTTCGAAGACATCGATGATCGAAAACCAGTAACCTACGAATATCTTCTACTCTCACTGGCCATGTTTCACAGCCATAAAGTAAGACGGAGCGAGCTACTGCGCAGTACACTCGTCCTTTAGTCAGCAAACGGATATCTCGCCCACGCCATAAGTGACGCAGGTTGACAAAAGCCAGTCGAGCCTTCTGTATCCGTGCTGAGATTCCGGCTCAGTAAGACTAAACATATACTAAGGGGAAAGTAAGATTCTCTGATTCAACACAATATGCATCAACCAAAGCGCAACTGACGGAGAAGCTTTGTAGGATGTAGAAATCCTTACAATATCTGGTCAGCATCGTTAATAAGCAAGGTGGATCTGATGCACATATGAGGACGGGTATTAGCAAAGTAAGGGCAGCATTTCTACAACTGAAGAACATTTCCAACTCAAAACAACTATCGACAAACACCACAGTTGTAATTTTCTTTAGAAACGTCAAAACAGTTCTGTCGTATGAAGCGGAAACCTATGGAACCACAAAAGCCATCATCCACAAGATACAGTGTTTCATCAGCCGTTGTTCACGCAAGATACTGAGGATCCGTTGGCCAGACACCATCAGCAACAATCTACTTTTGCAGAGAACGAGGTCAGTTAGAGATGAGGAAAAAGTGCTGAAGGTCGATAGGGCAGATATTGAGGAAAGCATTCAACTGCTTCATATGACAAGCCCTTATTTGGAATCCGCAAGTCCAAAGGAGGAGAGAAAATCCAGTGAACATATTACGCTGAGAATTGAAGACAGACATGAAGAGAATATACAGAAATTGGACAGAAGTAGAAATGAATGTCCAGGACAGGGTATGTTAGAGAATGTTGGTTGGCGGCCTATGCTTCATTGGGAGTAGCAAACCTAAGTAAGCAAGATGTTGCCTAGCATATTTTCTGAAGTTTAATCTATAGTTCGTTTATTTGAGATGACAGCAAGTATAGAGGGCAAGAGAGAAGATTGATCTTTATTGATGTCGTTTTCAGACAGTCAATGGTCATTTCACATCAGAAAAAAGGACAGATTATTACATTATGATCAGTCCCATACCAGGACGAAACGGCCGTCTAGTGTTTCCAGGTTTCTAATGGTGGTCTAACAATGATTGATTGATGATTTCAAATGTGTAAAAACACAAATCTCCAAAACTCTAACTGAAAATATTATATTTTCAGAAAAATTACATTTGATGATAATTAATATCTCAACATTAAAGTAGTTTATTTAGATTTTAGTACAATAAATCATACCAATACCACGACTTCATGCAACACAAGTTCAATGATCAAGGAGTAAACTTATCGCATTGAATGAAACTTCTTGTTTCATCGATTAAAATATGTCACAACTGCTTTCCTAATCAATTCGTCAATGTGGATTAAGTTGTGGTGTGAGCTACTTATAAGTAGTATATGACGTGAGTGTCAACGTAATGTCTGGCAGCAGAAGATGGGGGAAGATCAAGAAAGGAAGAGTTAGAACACAATGGAATTTGTATGAAACGCATGAATAGTGAAATGTCAGACAATGGATTGATGTTTTGCAACAGGAACAGTCCAGTTCGATATGATGGACTGATATTTTGCAAATTAACGATTTACGATATGGTTTTCCGATTTTACTGAGTAACTCTGTAATTTTCGTAAATACAATTCGGTGTTCTGTGTGTTCTCGTGCACTACAATGTGACTAATCCAATGAAAAACAAGCTTTTTCAACTATTTGCACACCCTTCATATCTACCTTCAATTTAGGCGTAGTTTTATAGTCTTCACATATATATCCCAATATTTACGTCTAAAAAACTTCTCAGTACACGAGATTTTATTAAGGTCTATTTGAAACAACGCACCTAATGCAAATAATTTTACCTGCCGCCACACAACTGTAGCTTTTCTATTCAGTATTTTCGGTCGAGTAATATAATAAATTTTTACACATTTTTGAAACCATGAACCGATCAATGTTAGACCACCATTAGAAACCTGGAAGCACTGGACGGTCTATCGGTTAGGGCGTTCGAGCACAATACCGAAGGTCCTGGGTTCAAATCATGCGGGGTGCAGGAGTCGTGGATGCGCACTGCTGATGAGTAGTCCCATACCAGGACGAAAGGGCTGTCTTTCAGTGCTTCCAGGTTTCTAATGATGGTCTAACATTGATCGGTTCATGGTTTCAAAAATGTGTAACTTAACAATCTTCACAATCCCTTAATGCAAATAAATTTTTACTCAAAATAGTTTGTAACTAATTTACTTGGTGTTCTCAGTCAAGCCTATTAGGTATGGAGATGTAAAACTTTTGTGTCTATCTAACTAAAACACTCAAAAAAGTGCTGATAAGAAGATATAAAATAAATGAACTGCTAATTATAATAAATTGAACAATTATCAAAAATAATTTTTTATTTAGTTTTGTTAAATTCAAAGGTTACAATGTCACCACCACCAAAAATTACGATATCATACAAATAATATCTAGGAAAAGTTATAAGGGTAATAAAAAAATTTTTTTTCTTAAAAAAATTATCAAATAAGGAGAGAGAACATTTTTCTTCATATATAAAGTAGAGAAGGAGAGATGCGTGGTGATTTCAGTTTGAAAAGTGAGCATTTACATCATATTCAAGAATATTTTGTTCAGAGAATATGCATCATCATTTTGGGAAATAAAAAATATATCAGAATTATTATATCACATTTTTTTTTCCAGTTCAAATTGTTTAATGTACATTTGGTCTGTTCCTACAAGTGCACAAAATCAACTACTATCAAACATTCTATGGAAACTTTGGAAGAATTCTGCCAAAATCCCCCCAGATATTGGCCATTTTTCATGGAAATTGTGATGTTTCACGACTACTCTGAAGAAGTGTGTAGAGCAATGTGTGAGTGGAACTCTGGAGAAAAAAAAAAGAGAAGAACGAGAGAAAAGTAAATGAACCAACGAAACAGTAGGCATAAGAAAATTCAGTGAAGAATAGAAAATATTACAATGAGAGGTGAGAAAACTTCAAGTGTCATTGATACAGCAGCACTACAACAATCACCAGCTGAACATGTACAACCGCTTGTTCCTTTCGATTGTCGATTCGCTGTTTATGTGATTGCTGGATTAAATCAATTTGCGGTGATCATCTGTGCACATCATTCTTGCAAAACATTGCCGATTGATGATAAAGGATAGAAACCAATGAGGTATTTGGAGAGCTTGACATCTGACTACTTCCAGTGGTGTTGAGAACAATGGAAATCTGTGATGGGACAAATGTTTTACCACAAATCAACGGTAGTTTGAAGGAGATAAGAGTGATGCACACTAGATTGTGCAAATCTAAGTACCTATCCATTCATCCTATACATTTATAAGAGAATTCATGTGATTTCTTGTAAACAGGTCACACAACTTCCACGAAAACCTGTTGTGTCATACCTTTCCGTTTAGTTGATTCAATAGGAACGATTTACATGCGATTGTTATGATAATATCTGTTCACAATTTTCATATACAATAGGAAAAAAAACAGGTGCTTGTTTATTTGGCATCTTATTTCCTCACTTGGCTTTATGTATAAAGTATATGTTAAGCTGTTTGTTAAAGTCTATCGACCTTTTGTAGTTGATATGCTACCACAGTGTGCATCCGATAAAGCATCCAGCTTACTCATCACATGGATGATATTTTCAACTTTCAAATTTCTAATGTTACTAGTGAGTTAGTCAGTCAGTCAGTCAGATGCAACGTAGAACTTCGTATGTAAGTACATCAGTTCATGTTTCCATACTACATTACCACAGAGATGTAATTGTCAATTCAAATCAAATAGTAGTAGAGGTAGTGAAGGTATTAAAAGTAATCGGAGGGGTTACGATTAGAAGATGAAATTCAAGAAATATGATTCAGTGAAATAAGTTAAGAAAGACAAAACTAGGTGTTGAGGAATCCAGAAGGTTATGATTTGAGATAACACAAAGAATAAATGCACCGGCGCGATCGCAGACGGTTTTGAGCCATGTCATGCAACCCAATCTTGAAGCAACATTTTCCATTTCGAGGGGGAAAACCGCATCCCGAACATGCTTCCATTGTTGCTTAAGGTGGTCAGAAGACTGCATTTTGTCAGCGTCCTCACCGAATAGAATTATGTCATCGGCATATTCTAGATCAGTTAGCGATTTTCCTGGTAGAAGGTCAACCCCTGAAAAATCTGACAAGCTTAATGTTAAATCTAAGAGGATGTCTACGACAAAGTTAAACAAGAATGGAGAGAGTGGACATCCCTGATGGACACCACTTGATGTAGAGAATTCAGATGACAGTTCGCCATATGCTCTCACCCGACCAGTAGTGTTCGAGTAGAGAGCTTGTATGAAGTTAATGTACTTCTTTGGTACATCTTTCAATGACAGACTGCCACAGAACCTCACGATCCACTGAGTCAAATGCCGTTTTTAGGTCCAGGAACACGACTATTGTCGGACGTCTAAATGTGTGTCTGTGTTCCAGGACCTGTCGTAGTGTGAAGATGTGGTCTATACAACCACGTCCAGGTCGAAAACCAGCTTGGTTTTCTCTAGTCTGCTCTTCACGAGCTCTAGTTAGACGTCTAAGTATAATCGAGGCTAACAATTTAAAAACTATATTAGTTAGACTTATTCCCCTGTGATTGTCACAAGAGGACTTTTGTCCTTTCTTGTAGATTGGGACAATTAGTGACTGAGACCAGTCAGATGGGATTACGTCCAGTTCCCAGATTCTATTTACGATCTCGGTCAGTCTAACTGTTAAAAGTGAACTATCATTCTTAAATATCTCAGGGGTAAGCCTATCAGGACCTACTGCTCTACTTCGCTTTAGATTTCCTATAGCTTTCTCAACTTCATGTAGACTGGGAGGACTTAAATCGATTTGCCATTCAGAATGACTGGAGATCGAGGGTAACCGAAGAGTGGCTCGAGGCCAGTTGAACTGATCCTTAAACTGTTCTGCCCATCGGTCCAGTCTCCTGGATTGAGAATGGATAATAAGACCATCCTTTTCCGAGATAGTCTCACTCACATTCGGGTTCCTAATACCGGTTTCTTTAATAAGACGGAAAAGTTGTCTAGTGTTGCCTATAGCCGCTGCCTTTTCCATCGCTTTTGCTTTCGCCACCCACCACTGTTCGCGGTCGTTACGTAGGCTTTTTATAAGTCTGCGCCTAAGCTGACTACGCTCTTCATCATGTTCAGAGTCAGGTGGGATGAGTTTTCGAGCATCCATCAGTTCGGTGGATGCGAGTGAAATCCACGGCTTCATCCTAGCCTTATGGTTTACCTTGCTAGCAGATATCACTGCCGTTTCCACAGCCTTTCTAATATCGTTCCAACCTGCCTACGGATGGGAATCGCCTATATGGTTGCCTAACTCTCTTTCTACTTGCTCCTGAAATATATGCTTAGCTTTATTATCATCAAGTAAAGCCCTAAGAGGCTTCCTTACGGTGTCTTTCCTACGTCCAGTAAGCCTCAAACAAATACGAGCTAGCACTAGGGCATGATCTGAATCCAAACATGTGCCCCAGAACGAGCGGCAGTTCTCTATCGAAAACCCTCCATCTGTGGCTGATGGCGATATGATCTAGTTGTGTCCAACGTTGAGACGACGTAGGAGGTCGCCAGGTCAAAAGATGTTTTTCCTTATGCTTACAATTAGTGTTTGCTAGAAATAGTTGGTTGTCTGAGCACAGTTGTGACAGACGGTCTCCATTGTCTGTTCCTTGAGCCGCGAGACCATAAGATCCATCCAGGTGTCTTTCTTTTTCTCTCAGTCTACCTACTTGAGCATTGAAGTCACCAGCCATTATAACTATATCAGAGCGCTTAACATTTTGGAGGAGGTCCGAAAGCTTTCTGTAAAACTCATCTTTTACATCATCTGGACTGCAGTCAGCGTGGGCGTAGGGTGATATGACGAAAAGGCAACGACAACTGTCCCTATACCTTCGAATCCTTACTGTCCCGTTTAGTCGGACGGCGCACAAGCGACAATCTACACTGATCCATTCAAGGAGAGATTTTACAGAAAGCTTTCGGACCTCCTCCAAAATGTTAAGCGCTCTGATATAGTTATAATGGCTGGTGACTTCAATGCTCAAGTAGGTAGACTGAGAGAAAAAGAAAGACACCTGGATGGATCTTATGGTCTCGCGGCTCAAGGAACAGACAATGGAGACCGTCTGTCACAACTGTGCTCAGACAACCAACTATTTCTAGCAAACACTAATTGTAAGCATAAGGAAAAACATCTTTTGACCTGGCGACCTCCTACGTCGTCTCAACGTTGGACACAACTAGATCACATCGCCATCAGCCACAGATGGAGGGTTTTCGATAGGCTTACCCCTGAGATATTTAAGAATGATAGTTCACTTTTAACAGTTAGACTGACCGAGATCGTAAATAGAATCTGGGAACTGGACGTAATCCCATCTGACTGGTCTCAGTCACTAATTGTCCCAATCTACAAGAAAGGACAAAAGTCCTCTTGTGACAATCACAGGGGAATAAGTCTAACTAATATAGTTTTTAAATTGTTAGCCTCGATTATACTTAGACGTCTAACTAGAGCTCGTGAAGAGCAGACTAGAGAAAACCAAGCTGGTTTTCGACCTGGACGTGGTTGTATAGACCACATCTTCACACTACGACAGGTCCTGGAACACAGACACACATTTAGACGTCCGACAATAGTCGTGTTCCTGGACCTAAAAACGGCATTTGACTCAGTGGATCGTGAGGTTCTGTGGCAGTCTGTCATTGAAAGATGTACCAAAGAAGTACATTAACTTCATACAAGCTCTCTACTCGAACACTACTGGTCGGGTGAGAGCATATGGCGAACTGTCATCTGAATTCTCTACATCAAGTGGTGTCCATCAGGGATGTCCACTCTCTCCATTCTTGTTTAACTTTGTCGTAGACATCCTCTTAGTGTTAACATTAAGCTTGTCAGATTTTTCAGGGGTTGACCTTCTACCAGGAAAATCGCTAACTGATCTAGAATATGCCGATGACATAATTCTATTCGGTGAAGACGCTGACAAAATGCAGTCTTCTGACCACCTTAAGCAACAATGGAAGCATGTTCGGGATGCGGTCTTCCCCCTCGAAATGGAAAATGTTGCTTCAAGACTGGGTTGCTTCGGCACCTGAACTAGTGATAGGGAGTGAAGTAGTCGAGCGTGTTGATCACTTCACTTATCTGGGGAGTCTCATCAGCGCTGATAGCCTAGTGACTGACGAAATCTTAGCGCGGATACAGAAAGCTCGATTGGCTTTTGCCAACCTGCGTCACTTATGGCGTAGGCGAGATATCCGTTCGCTGACTAAAGGACGGGTGTACTGCACAGAAGTTCGCTCCGTTCTCCTATATGGCTGTGAAACATGGTCGTTAAGAGTAGATGTTCGTAGGTTACTAGTTTTCGATCATAGATGTTTAAGAAGCATTGCTCGTATATTGTGGGACAACCGAGTAAGCAATGCTGTCGTTAAGAATCGAGTACTAAGTAAGGATGGCTGATCAATAGATGAAGTGGTGAAACTTCATCAGTTGAGGTGGTTGGGACATGTGTTACGAATGTCTAGCCACCGACTGCCGCGACGAGCTATGTTTTGTGGTGTAGGAGTTGGTTGGAAGAAAGCGAGGGGCGGCCAAACCAAAACATGGCACAAATCCATGAAGTCATTCACTAGTGGACTGAGCCATGTCGGTAATTGTCGACTACCTGGTTAGGGTCCGCGAGATGATAATAATCGATGGTTAGAGACCTTGAACGACATGGCTCAAAATCGTTTGCAATGGCGCAAGTGCATCCATTCGTTGAGCTCTCTCAAATCCTGATCTTCTGGATTCGTCAACACCTCTACCTTTGTCTTTGTAACCTTATCTTACTGAATCATACTTCTTGAATAATATCTTCGAACCCTAGTCTTCTTCATTACCATTAATACGTCTTCTATCTTTATCACTATGGGATTTGATTTGACATTTGCGTCTCTGTGCTGTGTTATGGCAACATGAACTTATGTACATAAGTACGAAGTTCTACGTTGCAACTGACTGACTGACTGACTTCATATTTTTGGTTACAAGTTGTGTATCTATCATAAAGGGAATCCAGTTCTAAATAAGGGGTCGTCGATCGTATATCCAATCTTTTCACATCGGATTAACTCATACATAGGTGTGTATTTTTATCCTTTATCGCGGCAAACGGGAAATTTCCTTATTATCATTGTTTCATATGTGGATGGTGAATCAAAGTATTATCACGAATACAACGTACAAATCGAAAACTGAACAATGCGAAACCCATCTCACACAGTTTAGACTATCATCATATGAACTAGTCCTCCAGAGAAATCAGTTGTAGCGGTTACCATTAATTGACAAATGAAAACATGATTATGATTGGCAAAAAACTAGTTCGACATGAATTTATCAGTGGAACACTACTAGGTCATGAGAAATATGAAAATAATAATGACAAAATACTAAACTGATGTTAAACATTTTTCTTAAGAAAAAAACACTATTAATCAATAGATCAACTAAACCAGTAATTTCTGTATCGTCAGCTAGAATTAATTGTGAGTTGTTCTACTATCCAATTTTTCATCGATTATCTAACAACCATTGGTAAAAATGATCAGTTAAATGATTTCAAAATGTATGATGATATTACTGATCTATGTAATCTGTTACCTGATTATTATTATTATTAGTATTATTATCAGTGGTATCAGTAGTAGTAGTAGTATCACATGGTTTCTTCGTTATTATTGATTTGTCAGTAATTTCTTCCATTTTCACTGGTACTGCTGGTTGATCTTCAACTTTGGTAGTGATCAGTGTCCGGATAGGAGAAGGAACAGGAACGATAGAAATGATGGAATTTGTAGGATTTGTGATATCTTTGGTTGTAGAAGCTGTCGAAGTAACAATGGGAGTAGTGTAAACATCAATATTATTATTATTAGTGCTAGTAGTAGTGACAGTAGTAGTATTAGTAGTAGTAGTAGTAACAGACCCGGTACTAGTATACGTTTGACTGCTTGAGACAATAGATTGAAGTGTTTGGTTTGGTTGTTGTTGTTGTGGAGTTGGAAGAAAACGTGACAAACTTCTTGGTTGTGCACCACGAAGATGAATATTAGTGTGACGACGTAATTCACATCTTCGAACAAATGATGCCTTACAGCGATCACAGACAAAAGGTCGTACACCGGTATGTCGACATATATGTTCACGTAGTTTACTGCGTCTCAGAAATGTTTTACCACATTCTTTAAATGGACAAACATTAAATAATTTCAAACCTGAATCCATATTTATGGTAGGAATAGATAATTTCAGTGGAATAGTTGGTGTTATGGATATTTCATTTATTATTTCCATTGGTTCTGTTAGTTTTGGTAACATAGATGACAAAGTAGTAGAAATTTCTGAATTACCTTGAATATTCAATCTTTGATCAGAAGAATCAAAACTTGTTCCGATTTTATCATTAGATATAGTAGTAGGAAATTGTTCCAAGCTTCCGGAAAGTTTGTGTGGAAATAGATGTGATAATTCATGAGATCGAACGCCAGATAATCGAGAGAATGAAGCGTCACAACCAAGTCCTCGACAAACATATAGTCTTTCACCTGTGTGTGATTTTAAATGTTTCTTGAAATTCCTAAACTGTGAATAGACTTTACCACATAAAGGGTATGTACACATATATTGAATAATCGGACATATAGGAAGAGATACAGTTGATTTCGGTGCAAGGACTGGGAGAGTTCGTTTTCTTCGAATTGTTGGTACTATTGATTTCTCGTTCCTTGTTTCTTTTGGTTCTGCCGATTTAGGTAAGATATCTGGTAAAGTAGTAGTTATTTTTGAATTAACCTCAATATCCGATGCTGGAATAGAAGTACCAAGGTTAGTTTTAATTACATCATTAACCATAGTGACAGGATAATTATCCAGTTGTCTGGGTACATTTTCGTGTGTTAATTCATGAGATTTTACCTCAGATAATTGAACAAATGTAGCACCACAACCAGGTTTACAACAAACATATGGTCTTTCATCCGTGTGCGTACTCAAATGTTCCTTGAGTTTGTCTAATTTCCAAAAGACTTTACTACATCCAGAATATGTGCATGCATGTCGATGACGAGGACTTTTATCCACTTTCGAATGTCGAGATAATTTATGTCTTTTTAAATCCTCCTGTGAAAAATACTTCGCATTACAATTTGGTGCATCACAAGGTATTGGACCAGTGCCAAGATGTGTTGATATATGTTGATTTAATCGATATTGTCTAGTATAAGAACTATCACAACCTGGATATGGACAGTAATGTCTACCAGATTCACTGACAAGCTTAGTAGTAAACAGAACTCTGAAATCTGGATGTTCCCCGGATAACTGAGTTTTTGCAACTGCCACATTATTTTCACTGCTGTTATTATTTTCATTATTCTTAACAATTTTATTCAACGAAACATTTACATCGGATATTTCGGTATTATACATTACATTATTTCTTCCAACTTGACTGAAATTCACACTGGATGACAATGAAGTTGTAGGGACATTCTCCACTTTCGATGGTATCACAATCATACTTCCAGTATTATTACTAGTATTCGTAATGAGAGTTCCAGTAGACGATACTACTGCACTATTAACACCAACATCACACGCATTATTCGCTGAACTAAATATACCTGCATTGGTTGTGTTCACTGTTAGTCCAGGTACATGCGTAGACAAAGGGATCGCAGATAATAAATTAGGAAGTATTGACGCTGTAGGGATTGTTACAGTGGTCACACCACTACCACTGCTGCTTCTGCTACTGATTCCACTCTGGATTACATTATTATTATTACTATTATTACTGTTCACATTACCAACACTAACATTCGCATCAATCAGACTGTTCATGATCGGACTACACATAGATCCTGCTAATTGACTGATCATGTTCACTGTAGCACAGTTGACAAGTACAGCAGCCACAAGTGGATTGAGTGCATTCGTAGTATTCTGCACAATATTATTCGTCAAATCTGTTAGGTTATTCAAATTCGGCACACTAATAGCCGTCGGATTCACAACAGGAGAATGGAGCCACAGTGTAGGCAATACACTGGGAACAACACTCGAGTTCTGTACACTTCCCGAACCGCTCACTTTACCTGGTAGTATAGGTTGAATCGAGACATTCTGTATGGTGGGAACATGTGGTGTACTTGTTAAAAGAGTTTGAATGGCATTATTCAGAGGTAAGATGTCGATGGTTTTCGCCGAATCGATGCTTACAGTGATAGGAGTTCCGTTTCTAGTCGGCTCGTCCACTTTAGTAATCGACACTGGTATGTGGGATTCGGTTGAATTCATGTTTGTATCATTCCTATTATGATCAACTTCTTCGGTATGATATTCCTGTCTTTTGGTTAATACGTCTTCAAATGTTGTATCTTCCTGTTTGATAGAAATTTTATCTCGATTTCTAGGTTCAACAAAATTTGTTTCATCTCCATCACAGTCAGGATTACGATCGAATTCTGGACTTTCAATTTTTATTGATTGGGATGGATGTTGTAAATTTGTGGATAGGTTGAATTTTGTAGATGATTTCATTGATGGAGGCATAAGTGTAGGTCGATGAAGCATGTTTGTGATTGTGGTTTAAAATATCCACAGATATGTTTTCAGATATATTGAATGAAATTCAAAATGTTTATTGTCATATGTATAAAATAACTTGTTTGTTGTAAATTTGACACACTAGTTTATCGAGTCCACCAGACTAGTCTTCCTAATGCCTCTCAGACCAGTGACTATCTCTTTGACCAATCGTACGAATTCCCGTTATAAACGGACTGATATCGTAATTCTGATTGGTTCACCTGTTTCTTCTGACCCCAATGACCAATCGTAATGGCCTTGTGGCTGTTGGACTGACCTTCTACTTTTACGTTAGCTTCACTCCATGTGGCCTAGATAATTCATGACCTCAACGCACCAATCAAAAATATCATTATTCATAGGCAATACGTAGGTCACGTGTTAGGCGAGCAATCTCTGTTTTAGGGATTTATCCCAATTTAGTTCAAGTAGAACATTTCACAAAAGTAAACGAATGAAATTAAAGAATCTATAAAAAGAACAATAACTGAAATGTCATAAACCATGTAAAAACTCTCCACCTCATGACTAAAAGTAGACTATCATCAACTGAAATTTCTATATCATAATTCTCCAAAATAGTGTATCTCATAATCATCATTTATTGAGTAACCTACAATTCATTTCTTTGTAAAACAATATTGTCCGCATAGTCAAAGTTGAATAGTCTTTATTCCGATTAACATGTAGCATCTCACTATTCATTCATTGTACTTCAATGATTTGCCGTTTAAATTGCTCTGATTGTGTGTGTGTGTGGATGCTTACTCGCTTAACACATGTCTAGCTTATTATTGCCTGATTATTAATACTTAGTCATTCCTTTAAAGCTGGAGAGTTGGCTCACTAACCTTCTCCATATTCTCTTCGTTTTGCTTGTACGCTTTCCTTCTCATGTTTGTCTGCATAAAGGTTTGTATGAAAACAAATTCATCCGCAACACAGCATAATGTCGTATCCATTGTACGTAACGAAGCCAGTTCATTTTACATCATTGTATTCTGAATCACTCATCACAGCAATGGCGCTTTGATTATCGTGTGATAGATACTTCCGACGTACTGATTAACTGCTCGTACCTCAAACATCTTGCAACCTGCTAAGTAAATTGGTGTAATATCGACACGCGCATGCACACGAACTATCAGTCTAAGCAGTCGAGCGAACCTCCTGCACGCTAATAATAGCATGTTTTCGACTACCCCAACACTGGCAACGGTTCACAACTCTATCATAGACATAAGTTCGGAGTCATACACTCATTGGTAGTAACTTATGTTATTAATACGCAACGAATATTCATTCATCGCATTTGCAAGCAGCAATCATCAATGTTCTCACTTTTTTTTCCAACAATGATCCTTACCGAACTTCCATCATAATATTTCTACAGCCACTTCCTCGATCGATGTGCCTTATTATTTATTCACGCCTATGCAACTGAATGTTAAATTCATTATTTTCGAACATTCCACGATTGCTGGATTTTTACACAATGCTACAAATCACAGAACACAGAGTTTAGATCTAGTCTCTCAACAAAAAACATTCAGTTTTATTTGTCCAGTATACATAATCAATCTTATGTTTGAATAATTTTTTTACATATGAACTCAAGCTTACACATACTTGTATTTTTGTTTGCTTGGAAGGAGCTATTGTAGCACCACCTCACATAATAATATTTTGTACTTTTATCATTGTTCAGTTTGTCTCTGCGCATGTATGCTTGGGCATATTTACTTACCACCCACGCACCTAGTTATTTGACTAGCTTTATCGATTAGCCGTTTAAATAATTCGATGGCAATATCGACTATATATATATATATATATATATATATATATATATATATATATATGAATTAAATCCAATATCTGTATCAATCATTAAAATATTTTGAATAATAAAGAAATTATGGCAACGACTCGTGTTCTCTAGTAACATCAATCCATTGTCACTATTCATGCGTTTCATACAAATTCCATTGTGTTCTAACTCTTCCTTTCTTGATCTTCCCCCATCTTCTGCTGACACTCACGCCATATACTACTTATAAGTAGCTCACACCACACTACATTCAGAACTGTTACCAACATAGATTTATTTGATTGGTAAGCTGTAGACTAGACAATCATATTTAAGTCCATTGCTGAATTAGAACAATGAGTCCGGTTTCCTATGCTGTAAGTTGACAACTTCACAATACTGAAGGAATCAGTACAATTTTTAGGTATATAGAAGAACCTGTATGTGTTCCAAACAAAATTAAAGCATATTTCTTACTATTTTAAAATACGTGGTTTTAATGAAAACAAGAATTACTGGATGTTTTCCAGTTCATTTGATGACGACAGGCTTAAACATTTGGCTAACAGATAACTAACTAACTGAGTGGAGGAAATTCGAATTTACGCTTCCAGAGTCATGTCACAGTTGTTTCAAATCGATCAAGTGAAAAACATGTTTTTTAATATATTCTTGATATGGGGGGCAAGGTCGCTCGCTTCCTTTGAAAAGTATTCTCATTTCCAATCGGAGAAAAAACACTTAACACAGCATACTGATAACGTTTTTCATCTTGTGAAATTAATATTTAACTAGGTTAATCAATATTTTCTTAATTTTTAAATGTTTCATATGGTTGTTTAATATACGTTTACAGAAAATGTTTATACATCAGTGAAACTTAACTAGTGTTGTGTTGCACAGAATCCTGATCGATACAAAATGGAGACGTTTCAGAGAAGGCAATTTTCTTTACAAAGATACTGCTTACAATGAGTTAGATAATCTTAGTCATAGTTATTTTTCTTGGTGTAATAAAAGTACTTCAGTGTAGCAGCAGCCTGTTCAGCAGTGGGTCTCAACATACATAAAGGAAAAAGAAAAATTCTCCGATGCAACACAACATGCACCAACCAAATCACTCTTGATGGAGATGCCTTGGAGGACGTTAACACCTTTACATATCTGGGCAGCATAATCGACAATCAAGGTGGATCCGATGCAGATGTGAGGGCGAGGAATGGCAAAGCGAGGGCTTCATTTCTACAGTTGAAAAATATCTGCAACTCCAAACAACTTTCAACCAAAACCAAAATCAGGATTTTCAATACAAATGTCAAGACAGTTCTGCTGTATGCAGCGGAAACTTAGAGAACTACGAAAGCCATCATCCAGAAGATACAAGTATTTATGAACAGTTGTCTTCGCAAAATACTTTGGATTCGTTGGCCAGACACGATCAGCAACAACTTACAGTGGGAGAAAACAAACCAGATTCCAGTGGAGGAGGAAATCAGGAAGAAGCGGTGGAAGTGGATAGGACACACACACTAAGAAAAGCACCTAACTGCGTCACGAGACAAGCCCTCACATGGAACCCTCAAGGCAAAAGTAAAAGAGGAAGGCCGAGGAACACACTACGCCGAGAAATAGAGAAAGATATGAGAGGAATGAACAAACATTGGACAGAACTGGAGAGGGAAGCCCAGGACAGAGTTGGTTGGGGAAAACTGGTGGTCGGCCTATGCTCCATTGGGGGTAACAGGCGTAAGTAAGTAGTAAGTAATAAAAATACTTACTTATTGTATCATTAACAGAGGTACGAAAAGTTATTCATGACTTGAGATAACGTTACAGTCAACAGATAATATTAGTGAAACAATACATAGAAACGAGATATCCAAGCATATGCAGGCATCGTTTGATCTAAAATTGTGTAACTCTGATACATTTCATGGAATTCATAGACTGATCCAAGATAACCATTGAACATTATTAACTAATGAACAGCAGTTTTATTATAACATGGGACGACTCATTAGCATTCACCTACAATTTCGAGAGGTGGAACAGAGCTCAGGACCCTCAGTTTCTTACTCGAACGCCTAACCTCTGGATTACTGAGTCAGGATCCAGTGATGTACAAGTCTAATTTCAATCAATTCATGATATTACGCTACCGTTGGTTTGTGATTTTGATAAAACCCAACGATAATCACAAGCCTATGCTGACTTTGGCAAATGTTAATGAAATTTAAACAAAAGTACCACTCAGAAGCCTTGTCAAAGAAACATCCGATTTAACTGAAGTTTCTAAAAAGAATTCTGAACAACTGAAATCGAACATTGTTAGTTGCTCCCATCAAAAAACGTACTAAAAGGCAACTCCTATTGAAAGAACATTAATTGCAATTAACTCATCTTTTCAGAAATAAGGATTTAGAAGTTTTTTAGTCCAAGTAAAGATGTCAGAATCATCTTCATGCATGTGTAACTTCAGCCTTTTGTTGGTTTGCATCTAGCCAGGAGGTACCTTGTTGGCTAGGGGAAGGATGTGAGGAGCAGCGTACAAAATTATCTGGGAAAAAAGAACAAGAGAAAAAGATGAGCCTACAGACTCAGTAAGCACATAGAATGATGCACTTACATGCAATATACGAATAAATAGACAGCAACCAGATATAAAGCCAGCGTGAGATTAAGACAAACTGATAAACGAAACTAAGAGTTGATAGAGTTAGGTTTTGAATGCGTTACACATAGAAGAGATTAATATTGATAAGTTATCCTTTATAATAACTGATATAAACAGATTTTATAAAGAAACTACAGCAATGATAGACATGATCAATGTGAACAGAAATTAACAAAAATCTTTAGAAAGATGAATCAGTCATTGTCAATGGGGCTCGACTGCCCTCCAAAATATCTAGAATCTTGAATATACTTGCGAAAAACGTTGTTTTTCCTCACTGTTATGAATGTGAATAATCCATCATACTACTTAATTGCCAAATAGTTGGTGGATATGTTTCAGCCAGTCAGAAATACTCTCAGTAGAGGTAGCTTCTTTTTATCAGTTCAGTAAACGAAATCAATGTTTCTAGCGGAAGGATAGTTTTTTTGGAATGTGGTGTCTCCTCTCTGTTTTTACAAATAAACCTCTTAGATAGGTAATATTTTCTTTGTAAATGTATTCAAAATAACGAGATTAGCATAGA